TTGTTTCTCAGCTTCAGTCGGAATGTAGATCAATGCAACTTGTACTACAAAGTAAATACAACAGAAATGTACCAGAGGACAAAGAAAAAGTATGTGGATTGGGAAATATTTGTTTATATTCGTTGTACATTGTAATTTGATGAACAAAAATTTGTTTCTACTATGTCTTTTTATGCATTTATGCTACTAGTTTATTTATAGTCTCTAGAGAAGTAAGGGTATTTAAGCGCGTTTAGGTACTGTAGTAGACTAATAGTTGATTCGTTCTAGGAATAAATAGTTTATTTATATAGTCGGTAGAGTGAAATAGTGTGTACAGAGAGCGTTTGAAGCTTGAGACTGTATTGCAGTTCCTGACATCTAGGGGCAGATTGTTCCATATTTTAGAATACATGACTGTGAAGAAGTTTTCGCGGAGTGTTGACTTAAAGGCTTTTATTGTATGTCCTTAATGTCTGAGAATGATATTTTGTGTAGGACCTTATAGAAGAATACTAGGTTTATAATTAGTCGTCTTGTCCAGAGTGGGTCAAGTTGTAGAATCATGCACCGTGAGATGTAGTCTTTCTTACATTCGTAGCCAAGTAGTTTTGAGGTAAAATATCGTTGGATACTTTCAATTCTTAGCTTTTCATGTGTGTGAGTGCTGCTAATAATAAATGGACAGTATTCTAGTAGTGACCTCATACAGGTTTTTTAAGGAATTAGCTTGGCTTCATTGTCGTGAAAGTTCCTGAGTATGCATCCTAAGAGCATCCTCGACTTTTGAGTCTGTGATGCCACTTGCTCAGAGAATGTTAGGTTACTCGAGTACCTCAGACCTATGTCAACGACACTTTGGAGTTTGGTTAGGTTAGCCGAATGAAGCGTTAACTTCATGTCGACTGAGGGTGCACCGAAGCAGATCCAGCCACATTTTTTAAGGTTAAATTGTAGGTTCCATAAAGACGACCAAGCAGTCACTTTATCTAGTTCTTTTTGTACAACATTCTGGAAGTATCCTAGGTCATCAGATTGGAATGTATAAGCTGCTTTTAGGTCATCTCATGGTTTCCCATGAGAGAAGCAAGCGCAAATGTCATTAATATATAGGTAAATAGAAGGGTCCAATGACACTACCTCGTACTACACCAGAAGTGATTGGGCTAGGTTTCGAAGTTATAGATCCGAGTTTAACTATTTGGGACCTATTGTTAAGGAACGATTTAAGCCATCCTAATAGTGGGTCACGTATTCCTAAGGATTTCAGCTTATGCATTAGTAGTAAATGGTCGACACGGTCAAATGCCTTTGAGACGTCAAAGTAGATGACAAGTACTAGTTGTCGTCTGTCATGACTGCTGGTCACAAAGTTAAAGAAGTCTAAGTGGCATGTTAAACAAGATCTGGATTTTAGGAATCCATGTTGGTTCGGACTTATAATATTGCAACTAAGCATATGCTTCATTAGGTTGTCTTTAACTAGTCTCTCCATAATTCTAGAAGCTATAGGTGTGATATTAATTGGCCTGTAGTTACTGACGTCTGTTTTCGAGCCAGATTTGTGTTTAGGCATAATAAACGTTGTTTTCCACACAGCAGGGTAAGTTTGGGTTTCTAAGGACATTGTGAATATTTTAAGTAGTAGTAGGGGAATGTCAGGGCCACCATATTTATAAAAATAGGATGATATGCCGTCAGTACCGAAACCTTTCGAGCATTTTAGGGTTCTTATAGTTTGTTTAATGTTAGTATAGTGTAATTCAACAGTACTAATTAAGTTTGGTGTGTGTGGAGATGGAGTTTGTGCCACATTAGTAGCAGGGTGTATATTGAGTAACTGGACTGTGGGCTTAAGGTAGTTACCTGCAAAAGCTGAGTTAAATAATTCACACATGTCTGCGGAATTAGTACATAGCCTACCTTTGTCTATGAGGAGGGAAATGCTGTGATTTTTGCGATTCATTCGCTTCTTTAAGATTTCCGTGAGTGCGTACACTCTAGCAGGACTGTCTACTGCGATGCGTTCTTCGTTTCTCATACGGAAATTTCGAGCTTGTGAGATGGAACTAAGGGTGTTAAGTATTAAACCTAGTGTGCCAAAGTCGTGGTGTTTGAAGTAACTTGTTGAGAGTTTCTTCAGTTTCATACGATCCTTTGGTTTTATGAATGACTTCCTGTGTGGGGAAAGCTCAAGTGTTTGGAGTGGAACGACAGCATCTAAGCATATGTTGGAGTTATGGTAGAAGATGCTCAGAGCTCTCGAGAGGTCATCAGTAGTGAAGTACTCTCTCCATTCTGAGGATCTTAACATTGATTTCACTAGAGTCCAGTCTGCCTTACTGTAGTTCCTGTAAGTTATTTGTTGTGAAGTATGGGTATGGGTTGCATTGATACTTGACGGAAGTGGCAGTGCACACAGCACTGTTTTGTGGTCACACCCTGGAAACTCAGAACCTATTAGGGTAGAAAGGGGACTTATATTGTGGCAGAAGATTAAGTCTAGTACGTTATTACCTCTTGTTGGGGTTGTGCCAGTTTGTTTCCAGCCAAGTATATCCAGTGTGCCCAAGAACTTATCAAGTTTAGTTGGACCTGTGGGTATTTCCCAGTTGATTTCTGGTAAGTTAAAGTCTCCACATAGGATCTTATGATCGTAGTGTAGGGTGGATAATTGTTCTAGAGTATTAATAAGTTGGGTCTCGTAATTACTAAAGGTGCCAGGTGCTCTGTAGGTTCATCCAATTAATACCATTGCGTTATTTAAGTGTAAGTTAACCCATAAAGTCTCAGGCATGTTAAGTGTACTACTTTCTAGCCGTGATACAGTAAGTGCATTCAGAAAGTACATGAGACAACCCCCTCCCTTACCACCTTCCCTGTCACACTGAAAGTGTGTATAGTTATCTAAGCTTATCTCCTCATCCAGTATGTTAGAATTACACCAGGATTCAGTGATGACAATTATAGGGGGTTTGTATATAACTGTGAGTGCTCTGAGCATTGGCAGTTTATTTAGAACAGATCTAGCATTTATGAGGATCAAGTAAAGATGAGATATTTGAAGTATTTAAGTTCGTTAATCAGCCCCGAGTATGGTTCAGCACCCAGTAGTACTGTTTGGCATGACGACCCTATGTTAAGAGGAGTTTCGACATCACGCTCATCTATGTCTATCGGGTTGGTGTGTGCTGTTTTCAGTGAAGAATTGAGCGTTGGAGTACTGGATTTGCTATAGGCTAAGGCATTTTTATTTCTAGTTAAGCCAGAAACGTGGTTAGGGATCTTTATTTGACCTAAACTTGTGCATGTATCAAGTGTGCTTAATGGATGCGGGTGAACTAGACTGTTTCTATATTCATGCAAAGGGGGAGCCAGCATTAACGGTTTAGGAGTGTTGACATCCCTACCAGCTGTTTTTTCAACGCTGACAGGGACGCAGGGGATAAAAAATGATTAGGACCTTGTGGAGACCATGGTTTATTATTCGACCTATTGTTAGGTACTATTTGTTTCCTTGTATGAGTTTCGTGTGTACTGCTTTGTGGGTTAGTTCCCAGCAGACTTGTACCATATATCCGATCAAAATTTATTTGTGTGCCATACTGTGGATACCCTGAGTTGTTGGTGATCGAGTTCTGACTATTGCCACTTGTACTATTGAGGGAGGCATTGTTGTGGCGTTGGTTATCAGTGTGGGCCATGGTGCTATTTCGCACGTTTTGGGTGCCAATACTATTGACCGTGGGAGATGTGGGCTTATTTATACTGCCATTTTTGTTGTTGGCGTGATTTGGGGTCATATTCCCCTTTTTTACCAATGGACTTATGGACAGGAGAGGACGGGGCCGACTTTCAGGGGATTTTGACTTTTTTCCGGGATTATTTGGTGACATGTCTATATCTACGGTGATAGGCGGTATAGTTTTATTGGCTATTTGATTACAATTTAGCAGCCTTGCGGTTGGTGTCTCTCTCTGAGAGGATAATTCTGTGTGGTTTGAGAGGGGTGGTGCGGTGGATTCTACGGTATATAATAATAATAGTATATTCTCATTTTTTACATGGGGGACGCCAGTTTACAGGCATCATCAATATGATAAATTACATATACGATTAGTAAGCATATTTAATAAAAGTAATTTAATAAAATACATTTTTTTCCTACCTGTGTAGGACACACCAATTGTACAGGCATGGATAAGTATTATTTAAATTACATAAATTTGGTTCATGGTGAAATTATAAGGTTGCATTCATTTGTCTATGGGAACAATATGATAACTAGTCATTCAATGGAGCACATCAAGAAATATAGAAATATTGTCTTCGCATTAACAAAAAAACCAAGTATGTTTTGGATGTATTACAAATACTTGGGAAAAAATAAAGCTTGAAGTAATTCCTCCATATAACTTTGGTGTGTACGGCATCGAGTCTTATTCTTGATTTATATCCATATTTGATAATAATTTAAAATAAGTAATACACTTGTATACTTTTGTCAGCATTTTCTCCGTAACATCACAAGTGAATAGTACTCAAGGTAGGCTAATAATAATGACAGTCTGTATTTTCTTATAAACGGGTGTTTTCAAGAAATGCAAGCTATTTTTGCAGACAAGATCAGTTATGTTATAAGTTACATTCGTGAAGTATTATAAATCAATACTTTTTTATTGGACCTAATAATAATATATATATATCGTATAAACGGGTAAGTTTACATGAAATGCATGCCATTTTTACAGGCACGATCAATTATGTTACGAATAACAATTGTTAATTAGCATACATTGTCACTTTTTCAAAAAGTTCATATTGTTGAGTTATAGTACAAGCAATCAGAACAGATTCTTATAAATGTTAATTTGTAAATATTTCACGAAGGTCACCATCGAAGTTGAGCGACAACCCGAAATTCGTTCCATTTCCTGATGATAGTTATGGCCAATCGATAAACAACATATATTTGTGTGAGTGCTATGCCTTCAAATGCTTGGACGCTATTTTAGGAATTGAAGAAAATCTGGCGCAGCTGCAAAATGGTATAGAATGCAATTATGAATAATACATTATTAAAAGTATATTTACAAGATAAATACAAGAAGCTATGTAGTACTTGAAATGATAATACACATTTGCAATGTATGATGCTAACCATATTGGTCTTACCATGGAAAACTATGACGCTTTCTATGAAAATATATTTATTCTCAAACATGAGTGTTGTTGTTTTCATCATCAGAGCAACCGAACTTTACGCGAGAAAAGGGTGTAAATGAGAAGAGGGAAAAAATTTCAGCTTCATTAAAGTCCTAGGAAGTTGAGATAAAATAGAGTATAATAGTAATTAGGTAGAAGGATTATTGTGAAGTATATAAGTAACATTTCAGAGAGAAGTGGCTAGAAGGACTAGAACCTGTTGAATACGGTGACCTGTAGGATGTTTGGCGAACTTGTGTATGGCCCATGGGATAGCATCTTGACGAAAAACTGAGCAGGCTTGTAGATGTTAGGAGCGAAAGCATTGTTATTTTTTTACAAGCTAAAACTGTACAGTCATTATTGTTTTATTTTTTCAATTAATTTTTTTAAAGTCTTTTTTTTATAGATTTAGTATCTAAACTCATGTTTAGTTCTCGAGCTGCCAAAATAATGCATGTTGCTGTCCTACAGATCGGAGCGATTCACATTTGTGACCACTACCAAATCTGCTGATCAGCATGCGCCACCCTCCCTCCTTTTTTGACATTAAGCTCTGAGACCTTTTACAATGACTGCAGTTGTAATATTGGATTGCTTTGACTCCGTCCCAATCATACAGTATGCTGCACATTAACAGCTTTCATGACAAGTGCTTCCCATTAGGTCACATGGCACAATAATACCAGAGGACATCGTTAGCAATATTATCATCATACTAGTGAACAAGTGGGTTACTACAAAAGACTAAGAAATTAGGTTTCCCTTAAGAGTTATGAAGTATAAAAATAGCTAATATTAGAACAACTAAGTTATATTCTATTTATCAGAGTGATATGAGTAGTGGAACAATTAGTGATAAAGTTATGTAAAGTGGTCCTGAGTAAGGCAACTGGTTAGCAGAACTTGTTATGCTAAATTTTCACGACCGATTTTATATGGTGTGCGTTACACATTGCAAAGCGACTCATCAATTATATAATGGAGAAATACTACATAATTTCAACATTATGAATTTTTTAGAAAATTATATGAATATGGGTAGGTGTTGACTGAAGATAGTCATTTCAACTCAAAAATAGTGCTAATAATATAAGCATATATGTAAAATATTAAAAGATATGGTTGCTAATGTAATTGTTTATGGAAATAATTACACTGACGAACTTATTGAAGATTACAGTGAAGAGAAAGTCAGTGAGTTAGTTAAACGGTTACTGCGCAGTTAGTAGTTAGAACATCTTTAAAAGTAAAAGGTAGAAGAGTTTTCAGTACTGGGGCAAATTAAGACATAATCTACGGATTAGAGTGTAGTGGATAGTGGTACGATTAAAGATAAGGTTAGGTTGAATGAGCTTGGGGAAAATGGTTGGTTGGCTGAGTTTGTTATTGCTATGTTTTCCTGGCCACTTTTCATATGGCGTGCTTTAGACATTACAAAGTAACAGTTTGTTTATATTATGGAAGAACTATCACAACTAATTTGGGATTATACGTCCAGGATAATTATAGATAGTCTTATGAGTTTATAAGCCCGATTGATGAAATATTGATAAGATCTCCAATAAGCTGAATAACCAAACCTCAGACCAAGGTATGTGGGAGAAATTGGGTTGGTTTTATCACGTTTCAGGTGCGGTACTGTTGCTGGGGCAAATGAGTTTCCTCAAATTGGGGATATTGCACTGGGGTCTGTAGTACCAAAGTTAGATGAACAGCCCATATGGGTAAAGTATGGATAAGTAGACCGAAGCTCTTTTGTTGACAAGAACTCGTTAAGGAGACGCTGGAATTCAGTGGGAGATCGGCAACTACGTACATTAAGTGGAAGTTTGTTCCATAATGCACTGTACTGTATTTTGAAGAAACGTGATCGCAGTTTTGTCCGGTACCGGCTTATGGATAGAGTATTTTCATGATTTCTAAGAGTATATATGGTTAAATTATTGAAAGCTATTGGATTACTGCTTTTGAGGTAGCCATGTAAAAGGCGAAAAAGGAATGTAAGGTTGAGTTTCAGGCGCCTTAACCAAAGTGGCTGAAGTCTATACATTTTGCACCTATCCGCGTAAGTCAGTCCTTCATGTTTGTGTAATAGGCGTCGTGTAAAACTTCGCTGAATATTTTCAATACGAACCCTGTCATACCCATTCATGAAACCGAAGACAATTGTGCAGTATTCAATTACTGGGCGAACCATGACTTTGTATAAAAGGACTTTAGCCTCAGTTGTGTACATTTTTCGATGTAACAAGCCTGTGAGTCTTCGGCATTTAGAAACAAGTGCTTTTGCATACTGACTAAATGTTAAGTTCTGTGAGTAGGTAACCCCCAGGTCTTTTATGGAATTGAGGGTTTGGAGAGAGGAGTCACCTAGGTGTAACCTGAAATACGGGTGGGAGTTATTGAAATATAAGGCACCACATTTATCAGAATTGAATGGCAGTTGCCAATCAGTGCTCCAGTTATGTAATCTATCCAGATCATCTTGAATATGTGTGAATCCCTCGTTCATTGTAGAATGGGGGAAGCTGTATACAATCTTTAAGTCATCAGCAAAGAGGTATGGGGTACCATGCTTGATTACGCTGCAGATATCGTTAATGTAGATTACGAAAAGCAATGGACCTAGTACACTACCCTGAATTACTCCACTTCGTATGGGTCTGGGTGACGAGTAATTATTTGCAAATTTCACAACTTGGGAACGATCTTCCAAGAAAGAAACGAGCCAGGATAACAAGGGGTCCTGGAACCCGTACGACTTTAGCTTAAGGATTAGTCTCTTGTGTGGGACTTTATCAAAGGCTTTTTTGAAGTCAAAGAAGAGGGTTGTGACAAGCAAA